TTTTTTAGTTTTACTTAAAATACTGATAATTTTCAGATGTTTTCTGTGAAAACCTATAAGATAAATTTTATTGGAACACTCGCCCCCTTAACCGCTATGCAAATATTTTTGGAACACTTTTTGCAACTTCGAGTTGCAGACAAAACCCTGGAAAAAAAGGTAATTTAGTTCTTTTTGGAATGATGTAAAAACGAGCATTTTGCTTCCGAGAAACATGCAAAACGGGACGGAAAACATGAAATTTTTTTTATATTTTCTAATTTCATAGACAACAGAAGACTGTATTTTTTCTACATAACCCCCCCCTGAATTTAAAGCTGGATCCGCCCCTGCCCTTTATTGCGTTTTTTACGGACAAGAGTAATCCATGCTTCTCTCCACCAGGAAGGTATTTTTCCCGTTTCACATTTAATCAGTTTGGAAGAAATTTTAAAGTATTCAACCCTCACAAACTCAAAAAAAACCCTCTCTTATAACATGTTATAAATTCCGACTTCAAACCTTAACTCTGGTCATCTTCGTGGGAACGCGAGACAGTGAAAAATGTTAATCTAAAGCCTAATTTGCAGCGGCACGCGTTTCCAATCCCCTGATCCACATTAATTAGGGCTCGAGGACCAAAAAAGATCGTGGTGGCAGATTAAAAAATAAGCGAGGGTCCCGGATTTGCCACTTTCCACCCCATACAAAGCGCAGACGTTATCGAGCATTTCACTTGTAGCTGATTCGTTCAGTTTGCCAATTTTAAACAACTTTTTGGCGTTTCCTGTCTTTTCGTTTACTCTTCTGTTGTTTTAAGCGATTGTGTCTCTTGACCACATTCCCAGGAGGCTCTCGAGGAGCGATAAAGCAATGTTTACCTAATTTGGATGCTCACTTGAGCCTAATGTGATAACAAAGGGTGTTTTGACGCGTCAATATGCTTCTGGTATATGAATAAGGGTGGAGCGCATGATACTGGGGGGTTAAGCGAGTCGCAACGAGATTTTATATGAAGACTGTTTTTCCGAGATTTTCACTTTTTTTCTGGGTAAAACTAAAATCGCCCTCGTAGCATAACTGATGCGTTCGAACTAGGCCGCTAATGTTCATCAGCGTTTTTCTCTGTGCTCAGGAGTGAGCGCGGCATATCAGTTGCCATGGAAACAACGCTGTTCTTTTCTAAACAGCGCAATATACCAGAGCTGATCGCTTTATTCAGGTTCCAACAAAGGACTTTTTTGCGCCCTGCACTAAATATTCAATCTTCAAAATTTCAAAATAGGAACTCTAAGCGTAGATTTTCGTTGCTGTGGGATCCACCAGGGTTTCAATATTCAATAGCACTTGGTCGATCTGTTTGGGGCTGATACCGCACCTAATCACCATAAGCCCCCAAAATGTTCTCATGAATTTATTAGCCCGGAAAAATCAGTTCGAACGACTGGCAAAAAACGATAATCGGTGCTGCCTAAACGCACTTCTAGGGGATAATAATTGATTTTCCAATTGGTTTTTTATTGGGCGGTGCTGGTCACGTGCGGGTTTTTGGCAGAAAACCTGACCAACGCATTTTAGGGTGGCTTAATTCATTACGTAATGCGTTCCAAATTTGATATTAAATGGCCCATTAAATTTTGACTAGTCGGCCGCTTTGCTTCAAGGATTTTTGTCAATTTTTCAAGTGTTAAAGTCAATTAAATCTCGAAATATGCCAGGAGCAACAGTGAGTGGTCGAAATCCAAAATCTGTACAGTGAGAAGCCCCAAAAAAATTTAAGAAATTGCTCAAAATACTGTTCGGTTCGCATTAATCTAAAATCGCCCTCGTAATATAATTAAGGCGTTCGAACGATGTCGCTAATTTTAAGCAGCGTTTTTCTGTGTGATTGGGAGCGAGCGCAACATACCAGTTGCCATGGACACAACGTTGTTCTTTTCTAAACAGCCCGAAATACGAGAGTAGGCCGTTTCATTGGCGGATGTTCAAAAATGTGATTTATAGCATTTTGAAAAATAGTTCTTGTTCAAGCGAGCGCCCTTTTGACTTCGCTCCAAACTTTTTTGCACAGTGACCTTCAAGATTTTTTTG